ACTACACCTTTCAGTTCAAACTGAAAAGACAACAGGAGTTTTGCTTAAGCTAAGACTGAAAAATATATGTAATACAGGAATATACAACTACATGGTATCTGAAGTACAGCAACTATAGTCTTTCCTGTAATGCTAAAAGGTATTTTACAATTTGTCACCACACTTGGAAAGTAACTTAGTCTTTAAAGGAATCCACATAATGGAAAAACGTTAATCAAAAGTATGATAAATTATAAACTGTGTCTCTAAAGGAAATAAGCAAAAAGCCAATTAGCCCAGTGCTCCTCTTCAACAAACATGGGGAAACATATCCAATTATCTCAGAAAAAAGCCAATTAAAATAAAATGAATAATCTAAATACCAGAACAAAATATTTCATTTTATAATTACCTTTCTCAAGAAGCTGGTTTTAACATAAACTGTGAAATACTGTCAACCTGTCATGTTTGCAAGCTTTACAGACACCACAGTTGTTGCTCCGTTGCCTTTGTGTATATTGCAGTTTGCATTAGCAAGTAACCAACGTGACATTAAACATGCCTGTTTCTGATAAGGGTTTTCAAATATATGAATATTTCGTTTAAGTATATCAGAAGAAAGATCAAGGTATATCAGCAAAAGGAGTCTTATTCAGTCTTTTCACTACAGGAATTTAAAAAAGAAGAAATATGACATGATGGGGCTTTACACACATGGTTAGCAGAATGTGAATATAAGTACAAGAGGGACAGGAAGAAAAGAGGTCCTTTTGTTTGAAAAATCCAGATGCAATCCAGGCATAGCTGCAATTTGAAGACTGAAAGAGTGGATGCGTATTAAAACTGTTCTGCGTTCTATGACAGACATGAAAAAAGCAAAGCCATAAAATGGCACTTTTCCGAAGTTGCAGAGGGATATCGAGAACAATGTGTATTGCAGAGAAGCATTCCTTTCTTAGAATCTCATGGAATATGATGCAATTCTATATTAATTAATTCTACTGAGCCTACATGGCAGAACTGGGATTGAAACAGCAACATATGAAAACATTTGCTATATAATGTACTGGCATATAACTGGGAAAAAAATCAAGTTCATTTTTATATACGTAGAATTTAAATTTCAATAAAGTTGGACTTTGACTACATACAGCATAAATAGGATTCATTAAAATGACTACGGGGCCTCAGCAGTAAGGACATGGTGGTACTAGCCTAGTCATGCTACCTTTGTCATTTGCAGGCAATCAGTATGGGAATGAGGTCTTTTACAGCATGACAATGTCTCAGAGGAAATCCCATTATGATGAAAACAGGGATTAGAATGTACCATACTGACAAAGTGTAACCAAGTAATGTTAGTTTCTTGATGAATGAGATCCTTAATTTCAGACAATAGTGTGCTAGTAACTATGTATTGTTGGCCCAGGGAATAATTGTTCATATATATGAAACTTTCACATCTTGGGGTTTAACACCTGAAGGATTTCTCTTGCACTAGTGGCGCTGTTTCTTGTAATCTTTTTATTCCACCAGTGGCCACTATCAGAAGGCTAAGTACGAGTTTAACCCTGTTTGGCTTCTTTCAAGCTCTTGTGCTCACAGACCAAACCAAACCAAGACAGTAGCTTGTTGTCATGTTTCCCACCATGAGAAAACATTCCACTCCTTTCTTACTAACACAGCAATTTCAGAAGCTCAAATATCATGTTAGTAATGTGATTTTTCAAATGCAGTTTGTTTAATTTAGCAAGTTTGCAAAGTCAAGCACTGAAAATCAAGATAAAAATAAAAATTTGCACCTGCAGACTTTGTTTGACTTTAAGTACATGGATTCTGATAGATGTAGTGGCATAATAATTTGGTTTTCTGTGTCCTCCAATTCACTCACATCACTGAGCCAGAAATGTGCAAGGAAATGCAGGAAAAGAGAGAATTGTCTCATGGCCAAGATCTACTGCGCTGGATAAATTGGATATCTTTCTTGTCTTTGTCTTAAAATTCTAAAGTGATATTGAAGAAGTCCTATCGACCAAAATTTCCCAGGAAAAACAAACAGTAGCCACATTTTCTAGATACCTGATTTGGAGCATCTGTGGTCTGTTTTTGTAGGTTTTCCACTAACTGTAAATGAAGTCTTCTCTGAACATATGAGATGCATTATAAAGATAAGTACTGTACGTTATAGGAGTTTCATATTCCAAAACAGAACACCAAAATTCATCATTACTTTGATGTCATGAAGACTTATTAATTAGAGTGCAGAATGAAGTAAGATTCTGTAACATGTTTATTATGGATGTTTATTATTGATGAATGCATCTTCAGAACAAAATTTGAACAAAGGTCCATACTGTAAACAAACAGCTCATATGAACACTCCTCATTTTTGGCAGAGGCAGAGGTCACCTGAGAATAAAAATACGCAATATGTTACAATGCATATATATGCCAAGTGGGTGAAAAAAGATGAGAATAGCTGGTTCTTGGTTCAGCCAAGTGCACAGCTTTTAATACTGTCTTAATGTTTAAATATTAAGCAAATACTTAGGGAAAAAAAAGTTGGACACGCATAGATGTTACTACAGTGCAAATGTGGCAGGCTAAAAAGGAGAGACAAATAATTTGTCACAGGGCCCAAGAGTAAATGCCATGTGGATCAGTGTTAGCAAAGCAAGGAAAGGTACGAGTATCTTTGTCTTTCCCCCAGTTTAATCTATGCCTGGTTTAGACTGATTGACATTGCACTTTAAAGACAAAAACTAAGTCATGAAGTCTTTCAAATTATCATATTTGACTGAATTTTCATCCATTGATTTTACTCCACCTGCAGCACACTAGACAAGGTAATAATTTATGATAATTATATGAAAATATACAATTAATATTCATCACCTCTCATTTCTCATCACTTTAGATGATCAGTAATGCAGAGTAAAAATGCTGTCAGATTTCTAATTGCTTTGTAATGGGCCTGAAGTAGGGAAATCGTTAAAGACAAACAATCTGTCACTTGTCTGTTACCTTAACTATCTATCACTTAAAAAAACCCTCATTAAATACATTGCTAATGAACGACAAAAGACTGTACTCAGTGTGCCCAGATGTACCTTTTTAAACAATATTGTAAATTGCTTAAATAATTCCCAAGACGTTTTCAATCATTTTTGTGCAAATTTAATGGAAAACATATATTTTCAGTGCATGTTACATCTCATTTGTTCACATCATTATGACATTTAGTCTATCATATCCACATCTCCTGGGAGACAAAACTTTGTTTTTCTTTTTTCTGTTGACAAATCTGACCCAATTACAACAAATTCTGGAAGAACTTAACATTCAGATCTCTGACACCTTTCTCTTAAAAAGAAATAAAAAAAAAGGATCAGCTTTAAATAATCCTATCTCTTCCAAGAATTTTTAATATCTAGATTAAAAAAGAAGCACAACATTGTTCAAGGCCAAACAAATTATTTTATCTTTCGCAAAGAAAACAATTGTTCCCAAGAGACAGAATTCAGAATTTTTGCTTGCACCATTCTTTTGAGTCAGCTGTCTGCTATAGCTCTGACAGAAAACTTCACTTGAAAAAAATTATTCTCACTGTACTGACTTCAACAGTCAGAACAAAAACAGTATGCCAGAAGGAGTACAGGTGAGACCCCTTTGTGAAATACTGTATTATTAATTGCCACATTAATTACTTACTTTTATTAATTGCCACATTAAAAAGTTGGAAAAAAATGAAAAAATAACAACTACAAAAACCATCTGAGACAAAATATCGATCTATGCATGACTTAAACATGTTCATTCTCTTAAACTTCTCAAAACCCGATAAATATTCAGTGCTTGTTTTTGTCAGCATGTATCAGATGCTAAAACACCACAGTTTAAGGCAAAAGGTGTAAGAAGAATTGATGACTGGAAATAGAAGCCAGGCAAATTCAAGCTGAGAATTACAGACAAATTTTAACAGTAGAATGACTAGCTGTGGAAGCAGCCTTCTCACAAGTTAGGAATTTTCCATCTTTCAGTATCGATAGCCAGACAGAACATATCAGCTCAGAATAGTCCTGTAATACATAAAAATTCAGACTAGATGATCTAGTGCTTTCTTCAGGTTTTATTCCCACGTATCCTATTTCCTCTCAGTTACAAGAAAAACAAGAAAGCAGAGAAGACTATGCTTTCAGAAAACCATGAATTAAATAAATAAACAAGTGAGCTAACAGACTCATTCAGGTGCAGGGCTTTGTATCAAGAACAGCACTGCAGCGTATGCTGAAGTTTAACAAACCTAAGTGCCGTCCAGATAGAGACGTATTTGTCCAGATAGGAATTATACTAAATAACTTTGCCTTTCCAACTATAAAAAGGCATTTGTTGCACAAAATTTTAATTTCTCAGATTATTCTGAATATTCTAGATGGTAAGTAATCTTAGAAAGACTTGCCTTCTGATTTTTATATAACCTGTGCATCACACTTTTGTATACATATATAGCAATATAAAACCAATACAAACAAAAAAGCAAAAAAAAAAAGCTTTACTACTCTGAACAACACTTTGAAAAATACCAGTTGTCTCCAGAAGTAAAAAATATAGTTAAAAGTTAAAAAGTCTGCATGCTTCAGCTGTTTCTTAAAAGAATAAAATAATAAGGGTATGGCCCATCATTTGTACTCCCCTTTCATTGTATTAATCTGTGACACAGTAGTCCAGTTAACTCCTTAAACAATTCTTTTCCTATACTTCCATGACAATGCAACACAATACTATGCGACAGTTTAAAATCAAGCATCTATTAAAACCTTAAACATTTTCACAAAAAAAAGTTTAAAAAACCCAATGTATACACAAATATATACAAGATATCTTAGAAGAAACCTTTTTAATGTATTTAGGTGTCCAGCTTCAGTGAGATTAATAGCACCTATACATACTTGAATAATGATTTGTTTAAGCTACTTCAGCAACTAACAAAGCCTGGTTTCCTACAGACTTGGGTCCTATACCTCCCATTTCGGGACAGCAGTCCCGGGTCTTCTCCATGACTTCATTGTCTGTCTCCACACACCCCAGACTTTCACGGTAAGTTCCCCTCACTTGCCATGTCAGTTACCTACTTGTGGTTTGCTGTCAGAAAGGAAAAGGCAGCAAATCCTATGGCTAGTTTGAACTATATGCTGATTTACCAGCCAGTAGCTGCCAAAAGCAGTAAATAGCATTTGAGTTCAGTTCGTTTTGCCCTACTTTCTCTCCCCTACATACCCATTTGATTTTAATGAATCTTGAACTAACTTAATTTTGATACATTTAATGATACAACATTGTCAAATCGTCCTGAGATTGATCAACAGCTTCAAAAGTCATTATGACCAGGCAGAGCACGATGAGCTAAGACTAACCCGAACATACAACATCGTGATTTCCAAAACTGCATAGATTAAAATTAAAAGAGAAACCAAGACACAAAGATTCAAATACCAGAAAAGGCCAGATAATCCTGCAGTGATTTCATTTCATAGTTTATGTATTCTACAGTCCATGAACACCAAACCATTATATTAAACAGCCTGTTTTCTTTTACTTTGGCACAACCGCTGAACATGCACAGAAAAGAATGAGTGTTTCACCTCCAGAATTGTTCCACTAACTTCAGAGATGATTTCTTAACATTTATGGTTAATTTCGTATTGAACAACTAATTACAGATAATTATACTATTGGATACAAATGCTCACAATCTCTCAAATTGCTCTGAGTTTAAACTACTGGCTTCAGGCACCAATCCTGTAACAAGTTAAAATGGAAAAATTCTATATGCAACATTTAAGAGTTTTGGGCATAAAGGATAAAAATGGATATTGTAAATGTATCCAGTATGTAAGGATATTAACCATTTGTGATAAAAGCTCAGGTGTAGTAACCAACCTCCATGACACCACCGCACCTTTTACAATTTTTCCTTTTAATTTTCCCCCTCTTGTTCACATATCAGCCCCAATCAACGGCTGAGGGGAACACATTAAGTGCCGTGGGCCACCCCAAGTTAAATGTGGGCTGATCGCACACCAAAATGAAGTAGGTAACTCATGCAATTGTACCAAAACCTTTGCCTGAGCGGTAAATTCTAATCTCAAAAGGGACTATGTAAATTAGCTCACACTTGATACTTCTCATATATAATTCAGTGATTTCAGTTAAATATATAATTATTCACACTGGTGCTGCGGAAGTTAACACCGCATTGACAGAGGGAGCTGGACCATGGCTCATACTAGTACTGCCCAAGTGCAAAGACAAGTGTCTCTCTCTTTTGACAGCTATGGACATCCACGTTACAAGTTTGACCTCACCTAAAAAACTGCAGAACAGGGCAAAATACTAACCTGCTGACTGTTTTGCAGAGACATTGATGACCAGCAGAGACAAAAATCAGACTGATGCACAGGTCTTGAGTAGTTATGTAGATGAGATGTTTTTCTCACCTACCCAGAAAGTCTCTTGCTTCTCTACTGTCCATGTCAAAATTTAAATAGATTCTCCGCATTTATTGTTCAGTTCCAATTGTCCCACATCCTTCCTGCACTGGTGGTTAATGGCAACAACATGCCAGGAACAACGCTCCCAGTTCTTCCCACCCACGTCTGTACAGCCTGCCTGCTGCTCTACTTAAACAGTTCAAAGGATGTGAAAAACGACAAAAAAAGTTCCTTTAGTTCTAACACGTTGCATAAAAATATCATCAAAGGAAGTCTGCTACACATTTAAAGCTATAGCGTGAACTAAGTTAGCCTGAACTAATATTCAGAGATTTTGCTGTCTAAGATTGATGGAGATTACAAAAGCTGAATTTTACAGCACCAACCTAACCTTTCTTTTTTAAGGGGAGACGTCTTTACGTCATTAAAAGTCTGCTTCCTGAGCTTAATTTTTTCATTAAGAGGATGTTCTTCTTTCCTCTTTAGGACAAGTACTTTCTAGAAAGAAACCACCATCTTTCTCAGCTCACAGGGTCGGGACAACCCGTCAGGGAGGCGAGCAGGAGGCAGGAGAGTCAGGGTTCTCTCTCCTGACGCTCGCTGCCTGGAGCAGCCGGGCAGGAGGAATCCGAGGGCGTGTGCCGACCGGACGCCGAGCCCAC